AGAATTTAAAAATATAAAAATATGTTTTCAAAAGATAAAATAACTTCTTTTAGTTTTTTCTTGAATGAAAAATAATTCCATTCATGGGAAAAATCAAAATTTTTCAAAACTATTTTGTTCCAAAGAAAAGTTTCTCGAAATGAAATACGTGACTTTCCGAAATTAGTTAGAGAAAAAGGGTGCCGAATTAGATTATTATTTCTTAAGTTATATTTATTTTTATCTTTTAAGGTATATAGATTATAAACAGCAACAGGTGATGCGTTGGTTTTATATAACTTTTACATAATTTTTATGGTAATAGATTGGCAGTTTTTGCATAATTTTTATGGTAATAGATTAAAGAGAAATATAATTGTGTTAAACTGTGTTTACTTAAAGCATTTCTAGCTTTGTACATTACTCCTATATTTCGAGCAACTTTGTTGCACAACAAATCAATGTGATACTTCCAACTAAAGTTTTCATCTATATTGATTCCTAAAAAGTTAGTATTAAGTTCTCTTTTTATTCGAATTTTGACAATAAAAAGTAAGGGCATGACAGGAGGCAGTAGCTTTTTTTTGAAGTTTGATGAAAAAGTATCTATTTAATTTTCTCAAAAGTTAGTGACAGCTTATTCATTTTAAACCAGTCATAAACTTTTTTTAATCCAATGTTCATATTTTGGAATAATGTTGTTACTTTGTTATGAGATAAAAAAAGATTAGTATCATCGGCAAACATAACCGTCATTAAATTTGAGGCTTTAGAGAGATCATTAATGTAAATTTGAAAGAGAAAAGGTCCTAGTATAAAACTTTGAGGGACCCAACATGTTATGTCTAATAAATTGGAAGAGACAGTTGTATTAATGTAAACAAACTGTTTAAGGTTATTTAAATAACTTTTAATTATCATTAAAATATTTCCTTTAATTCCATAATATTCTATTTTTTTAAATAGGATTTTGCGGTCAATGGTATCAAAGACTTTTAATAAATCGATGAAAACACCTAACGTTTATTGAGATTTTTCAAAAAATTCAGCAATATTGCCGATAATTTAGAGTATAGAGTATTCGGTTGAATTTTTTTTTTTTTTATCCGTATTGATTTTAATACAATTTATTATTTGAAAATGAATGAAAATTACGTTATATAAAATTCTCTCTAAAATTTTAGAAAAAACAGGCAAAATTGAGATTGGGCGATAATTTGAAACATTGGTTGCATTTTAGGTATTTAAAGCCGGATTTTTACTTAATAACTGCATTTTAATCCATTCAGTCTTTTCTAAACCTCTAGAACAAATAGTTTTTACAATAAACTAACTAATACCTTAATACCTAACTAATAGCAACACCTAGAAAATAAAACAATTCGGATTTCAAAAGCAAAATTCAACCGAACATGCAATATTAGATTTTGTAAATAAAATAAATGACTCTTTTGATAATAACAAATTTGTTCTAGGAATCTTCATTGAACTACCAAAAGCATTCAATATCGTTGATCATGCTATATTACTTAAATAAATGAAAAAATATAGCATAAAAAATGTTGCTTTACAATGGTTTAAGAGCTTTTTTATAAACAGATAGCAATCTGTTATTACAGAAAAAATATCTATTTAAAATTGCCTAAAACTAAATGCGGAGTTCCCCAAGGTTCGATTCTAGCTCCCTTACTCTTCTTGCTATTCATCAATGATCTTCCAAAAGTTTCAAGCAAACTCGATGCCATAATGTTTGCAGATGATACTAATTTATTTTATTCATCTACTTTTATCACAGAACTCTTTGAAACTGCAAGTATTGAACTTTAAAAACGAAATACTTGGTTTAAATCTAACAAAGTATCATTGAATACAGAAAAAAATAATAACATTCTGTTCCATTCCAATCAAAGAAAAAAAATCTATACCAAATATATTACGATAATTTATGAAGTATATTACTGTAATATAGAAAGGGTTGTATTACGCTTACAGAAATGGTAATATTATTATTAACAGTTTGAAGAGCCTGAATAACTTGTTTAATTATGGCTGAGTACGGCAAAATAATATGGAGACAAAATATGAAAGTCCAGCACTTTGATAAACAATAAAGCTGATGTGCAACTTGTCGTGTACTTCCAATTGCATGCATTGAAAAATCTTTTAGTTGAAAAAAGTACCTATCGAATTTATTACAAAAAATTCGAAAACTTTTATACTTGCTTATCAATGTAATCTCACATAGAAGGAGAATATTTGAAACAGAAGATTTTTTAGGCGGCTTTAGGGTAAATCCTTTAAAATTGTGGAGCCCCACTATAACCTTGACCTAGCAGATTATTAATAAGGAAGTTGAATGTTTTACAGTTTTTGAATAATACAAACAAATATCCTGGTAGCGTCCATATCTTTTAGCGGTGAAAATCCAAGAAATTCCTCACGAATTATAGCCTTCTCACTAGATGTATCAACAAATCGCAATCCCAGTGATAACTGTTTAGATCCAGAAATATCCGTTGTTACATTGGCTATGATCGAGAATCTAACAGCATTGTTGGCAGCTTTTACAATGCCTTCTCGCAGAACTTGATTCAATCATTCTGCGTTATAATGTTACACATCACACCTAAAGGTGTGATATGTAACGTGCATTTTCAGCAGCTGTATCAAAATGGTTTTTTAAAACACTGTTTCTTTTCTCAACTCTTTACTCAAAAAGTTGTTGAACATTTCCTTCATTACTATTTTTCCCGCGTAATGCCAAAATATTTGTTTCGCAAAATAAACTTCTTAAAATAATAAGATACAGCTTCTTTCTGTTATCTTAAATAACTCGTTTTACTCAATTAATTATATGAAAATAAATATTTTATCTGGATTTCGTATTTTTGATACAAAATGTTCAGCATCTTGTTTAGCTCCACGATTTCATGCTGAGCTGATATGGTTTTTGGCACATTCATGAAAATGTTTATACTAAGTGAAAGGATAAATAATGAATTCCTCTTTGAACTGGTTGTCGAAATATAACTCAAAATGTGCAAAAAGTACCTTTTAACCTAAGTGAATATGATAACCATCGAAATAACTGAGATAGCTAAGAACTCCTGAAATAACGCTTTCCAATTCCAGAAATGTCACCTTTGAAATTGTAAGACGAATGAGACTGGTATTGATCAGTTAGCAAGCGATACTTAAAATCAGTAAGTATTTTCGTTGTACATTTTACAGTGTCGACATGTCCAATATTATATTCTAATCTAGAATCTCCTTTTCAAGTTTTTCAGGTTTTGGTTCGAGTGTTGCCGATGATGATTAATAAGCAGCATCCTCCGTTTTCAATTTTATGCAGATACAAATTGTTTCTTCAACGTCAGATGTCGACAGCTGTCTAATAGGTTATAAAAATTTCCAGGGCACCTAAAATTAAAAAAAGAAAAATTGCGATTACGAAGATTTATTTACAAATTGTTTGTCCGAATATTAAACCTTATAATCACTTGCGTATTAAAAAAATCTATTGTTTCTGTGCAATGTTGTCCGATATCAATTCCACAGTGCTTTGCGCTATTAAAAATCTTTTGAAAATATGAAATTTGCGCTACTATATCTAGCTAGGGGTGAGCAAAACCGGTTTGTTAAAATCGGATTCGGATTTTTCAAACTAGGAAGTTTTAACTAGGGATGAGCAAAACCGGTTATCTGGTTTTGCTCACCCCTATCGTGAATAGTTTGAAAAAACTCGCGCACGCTGATCAGTCTTGCCATCATATAAGTTTTTTATTAAATAAACTTTTTTTATTTAATAAACTTTTTAGATATAACAAAATAAATACAATTAAAAAAATGAAACTAATTAAAAAAAGATTGAATATCACTACCTAGGTAATGATATCTCTAGCTAGAGACAAACCTTGAACCCTCAGATTACTAGCAGGAAACATAATCCGCTCGGCCACACTAACATGATTGAATCGGAAAAAATTATATTTATAAAATAACTAATTTGGATGGCGAAGGGGTCATTAAAATGTTATAATGTGTTACGAGAGAGAGTGGGGGTGGGAGTGGGATGAAGTGGGTCATACAAAAAGGTCAAAAATTGCGTGACGTAATTTATGGACATCCCCTAACAAACTTTATGGCATGCAATCTCACGATAAACACGATAATGGGTTATCTTACGATAGACACAATAATGGGTTACTTTGGGGGTCTATAATGGTCGTTTGGGACACTTTTAGAATGGGAACTTTTTATGTTAGATTCTAGGATACATAGAACGCAAGTTAGTAAATTTAAAACTTAGAAACTCGATGTGTATAACCAAAGTGTTGGAGTTTGAAGCCACAGACGCCGGCCTAATAAGCAATTTTTTATTTTATTGTTTTTAAACAACTGATTATTATGATATATAAAGAACATTAATAGTAAGCTTTTTTATGCTGGGTTTCCTTTTTAATCGAGTTCTCTACGTTTGTTCATGTTGTTTTTCCAAATGCTTTTTTTAACTCCATGTCTCTGTTAACATCAAATCTTGCAATCAATTTTTGAGTCACTTCCTGATGGCAGATTTTCTTCAAACTTTGCATACATAATCTTGCTTGATGACAATAAAATATTCAATAATTAGTTTTGCAATAAGTCAATCAATTTAGTTATATTTATTTAAGTTCATTTTTTATATGAAAAGAAAAATTTTTTTTTTTAAATAACTATATTATTAGATCCAACTTATACGCGCGTTTAGCTTATTTAGATTAGGCGTTTACTATGTAATGTCTGTGGTTGGAGACCCGCTTCTTTCTAAATTTTTTTGTTTGTTTTTTTACACACGCATACAATTGAATGTTAATAAAACAATAACTAGTAATATCAGAAAAAATTGACATTAAAAGTTTTTATTTTAATTGTTTAAAAGTTGTTCTCGCTTTTGAAATCTTTCAATAAATTAATTAAAATATACTTTCAAAAAATAATAAAATATACTTTTTTAAATTACTTATTTAAAACTCAGAATATTAGGCGAAAAACACATTTTTATTGAAAACAATCAAATTAATAAAACATACGCACAATATATTGCAATATCAACAGTTTTTAAACAGTTAAAATTCTTGCAATAGTTATCACATTCATTAAAACGATAAAAGGAGATTAATAAGCTAGAGCAAGTCAAACTTTACTTAAGTCATTTTTTAAAAAACTATTAAATAAAGCATCGTAATGTGTCAAAGTATTTTCAAGGTTTAAGTTTATTAAAATTCGCCGTTATTTTCTTCTTTTTTTTTATTTTTATAAATATAAATTAGTAGTATGGTATTTATTTTATACTTTTTTGCAAACAATCAATACCCGAAGATATGATTTCATAATTTGAACTATCTTTAAGTTTAGCAGTTGCTTTTGAAAGGATTTAATTGCGTAACAATTAACAAGAACGTTTGAAATAGTCGAAAGTTTTGAAAACATCGCGGTGGTTGTTGCCAAATGCATTGGTATATTAAATTTCAGCAATGTTAAAACGCCAACAATGGCGTATGATGTCCAAAAGAAAAAATATGCAAATGCTGATAATAAACAAACTTGAAAATATTCTTTTTCTAAATGATCAGTTTTTTTGTTTTGAGGAAATTTACAAGCTTTTCGGTGACGAATTTCTTTTGCGCTATAATACAACGTTAACGCGATGACTATTCCAGGTAAAATGTTGCAGCAAATAAAAATAGCTAAAATATAAGAAAAAGAATTTGCTTTTGTTAATTTCCAATCTAACGAACAACGTTTCTTATCAAGATCTAGCTCATACTTTGACCAACCAATTATAGGAAGTGTTGCCCAAAAAAACCCATACGCATAACATACTAAAATTAATGTTACTTTGCACCAAAACATTTTGTGATACTGAAAATAACGCCTCGGGTATTTTATAGCAACAGTTCTGATAAAAGAAAGCATTGTCAAATGAGTAATGTTGGTTATTGCAAAACCTAGAACTGCAAAACCGCCTACAATGCATAACGGAGTACTTTCCAATAAAGACTCATCGGCCATTGCTAATTGAGGTGTTAACCCAATTGTCGTTTCTAACAAATTCGTGATAGAAATGCTGACGACAAATAAATGCGTTATCTCTTTTCTTTTAACTTTAACTAAAATAATATAACAAGCAGTCATGTTTAATACCACTGACGTCAGAAGCACTGTAGAAATAACAGTTTGAATTACTTTGTTCGTATTCATTTTTCAACCTAAAAAATTAAGTAATAAAAATGTTCAACTCTCAACATCAATAGTATTTATGTTTAATAGAAGTAAACTTTATATAAAGTTTGTGCATAAAGTTTTTGAAATTATGCTTTTGTCTATTCAAAAAAAAGGTTTTCAATAAGGGTGAAGGGTAAAAGGGTAGGGTTGTTTGAAAGTTAGATCAAAGATTTGATAAGATAATTTTTTTTTTAATTTTATTACAAACAGAATAAGAAAATATGTTTTAATTACTGATAGATATTATTTACTTAGAACTAAATTTTAAAATAAATACTTTATTATTTAAAACATAAATGAAATCGGTAAAATGAAAAAGAAAAAAAGAAAAGAAAAAAACAACAAGAAAAAAATAAAAAAATAATTCTGCCTATTTTTTAAAAACTACTTTTAAAAAGGGTCTAAATATTGGTTTTTTGCAATGAAAAGATCGGTTTGTTTTTAAATTTTTTTTTTTAATAAAAAAAAAAACACTTTATTTTAAAAGAGAACCTTTTTAAATCCCGATTTAAATAGATGTGCTTTTAAGTTATCAATCAAACTATAAAAATGTGTTATCTAAAATTAAATCTTACTTACTATTATATCAAACGGTAAAGTTAAATGTGCGGCTAGTACAAGTTTAGTAGAAGAGCCTAACTAATCTAACTAACCTAACTAATCTAACTGATAGAAATGCGTGAAATGAAATTTCACGCATTTTAAACAGAAATAGGTTGCGCTGCGTTAGGAATATTAAAAACCTATCAATTTCATTGATTGGTTTGTTGAATGTTACAGAATTTCGGTTTAGTTAAAATTATTAGTATTTACAATTTCAGTTAGTGTTTTGATGCTAGATTACTTTAAAAACCCAAAAATATGAAATGCCAATAAAACCCATAATAAACCACATCATTAAAATTGAATCAATTAAACATATTAATTATCATATTTCAACAAAATATAAAATACTAAATAACAGTATAAAACAAAAAATGGTGAATATCGCAAATGAAAATCGTAGTAACTACTTTAAGATTTTGTTTATTACGATAAAGCAACTCTGTCTTCGTTTTACCCTTGCGATCATTATATACTTTATACAAGAAACTTGTAAATGTTATACTATATTTACGACAAAATATTAAAAAAAAAAAAACATACTGATTATTTCAAATAATAAAATTATGAATTGTGATATTTTTATAATAAAATATTTAGGTGCCTTTTGACAGTTTTTAACATTTTAGATGCCCCAAGAAGTCCATACGGACTTATCATAGAGAACCGCGGACGAGCATTTGAAAGAAAGTTCATGACTCCTTCCCTACCGATGTCATAAAAACTTGCCCTGTAGTGGCGTTGAACCACGGATCTTTAGCTTCTGAGGCGTGCGCGCAATCTATTGTGCTACGTCTGCTCAAAATTGCATTAACTCTTTGAATCTGGTACTGCAAATAATACACAAACAATAATATACAGTACCCAGTAGGTTCAAGACGTGTTTTAGACATCTATAAAACGTATTAATCTCACTATCCATTGAGTATATTCTAAAAAAGTTTGTTTTTACATTTCATGAATATTTACAAATAGTACAAATGCTAAGGAAACACCTTATTAGAAAATGATCTTATAGTAGTAATATGATAGCAAAAAATGAGGGTTATAATAAAAATTATGAAACAATAAAAGTATAATAAAAAATCATGAAAATAAAAGCAACAGTTTATAAAAATATTTTAAATTCGAATTTTTATTTTTTTAAATTTTCTTCAAATTTTTGAAAAATTAAAAAAACATTTAATGCAATTTTTTTTTTTTTGAAGAAATCCTATGGAAAGTAAGAACACAACTGAATATGAAATATAACTAAAAATTATTGAAATATATCTTTTTGTAGATGCTTTAAAATTAAAAAAAAAACATAAAAAAAACAACCTTTTTTAAAAAACAAAAAAGCTTTTGTAATTTTTGCCTAATACCCCTTATATGGTCATTATAATGATAAATTGAAGAGAATTTTTACGAATCAGAATACAATTTATATGAATAATCATAATGCATTTGCTTACATGCTTACATTTTATGTGGCAAAATTATAATGATAAAACAATGGCACGCCTTCAGTACTGCTACAAAAATTGTGCTAAAATGTTTTTTGGTTACAACAAGTATGATAGTAAATCTCTAATGCTTTCAGAGTACAGAGTAATGCTTTCAGAGTACCATCTTTTTATACAATTATCTTAAACTACAGACATGCTTTTCGCAATCAGTTGATGGTTTGTACCTTGGTGAATAATTCCTTGCATTCATTTAATCAAGTTTTAAAATCAATAAAAAAAAAACAAAAAAAAACTATGAACCAGGCACTTAAATTGTATATGCTTCTGTCTAAAATATATTTATAATAATAATAAAATAATAATAATAACAAAATAAAAAAGGCCACAAAAACATTTTTTCTTTATCAAAATTTTGCGTGGAAACTTGTAGATATGGTAAAACACTTATTGTTCGTCATGCAATCTAGTCTTTGCCCCTTAGTTACTAAAAAACATGCAGAGCTAAAACTAATCGCTGGAAAATGTCGAATTCTAAAAAAAGACTCAGATCATCTCTATATAACTGACGAAAATTTGACGATCGTAACTTTAAAAATAAAGGGACAGGATCTATTGCAAAAAAAACTTTGCCCAAAAACCCCTAATGCTTAATGACAAATTTTAGATAAGCTTTAGGATAATCACTCAAAAAACATATTAATTATAATTTTTTGTATTTTTTTTTTCTGAGAATAGATTCAGAATTATATTATAAACAAAGAATTAGTGGATGAATTTCAAAGGGTTGGCGCGCGGTTGTGTTAGCTTAGGGTGGTGTTGGCAAACACTGGAAGCAAAATAACCCCCTAGCTAATAACCGCCACTAAAAAAAAATTTTATTTTATTTTTATTTACTGTAAAATGTAAACACTTGCACACTTGTCAGTATGGGTATGGTTTAAATTTATTTAAAAATAACCGTGTAATTAGCAGTTCAATATTTTCAAGTCTTCGCAAAACTCACTTACTAGTAGTCGCTACTTTTGATAGTGAATCATTTTAACTGTTTATAAACCTTTTTGTCTTTTTCAGAACATATATGAAAATTATATTATAATTTTCCAGTTGACGTAAATTTTCAGCTTAGAGAAACAGTTATTAGGTTTTCTACCCAGGAATTTATTTTTCCACCTTTTTTCGTATACTGTGAATCTGTTAAGGTAAATACTAAAATTTTCCATGACCTTAAGTGGTTTAGGGTTATTAATTATACTGTGTTACCTTAATAGATTCACAGTATACTTTCGTAATCTGTGAATCTATTAAGGTAAATACTAGAATGTTCCATTATTGTTTATGTTTTTATGCGGTTTAATGTGTAATTGTCAATGTGTTTATACAATTTATAATAATAATTTTTGGTAGGCTCTTATAAAGTACTTAAACATGAACAAGAAAGTTAATAAACCTTCTCGAATGGTAACCCGCAGATCATATACCAATGAAGACAAAAAAACAACACTGATGTGCAGAGGTAATTATTTACATGCACAATTTCACTTATATAAAACAATATATATTTTTTTGAATTTTATTTTTTCAGTTTTATTCCTTTTTTAAGATGTCTTACAACAAAACTGGAGGCTGCAAAGTAAAAACATTTAAACATATATTAATGTCATTTTCTCTCTTTTTTTTTTCTAGATTCCATGACCGGAGATTTCTAACTTAAATTGAAACTAAAGTGGAAAAAAAATATATAAAAAACTTTGATTCTTTAACAATAATTTATACTTAAAAAAATCTTTATCAAAAAATATGCCATTTTTTTTAAAAACAAAATCAATTTTGCCAAACACTAGCAAAAGTAAAAATTCCCAGATGGCGAACATATGTTTCTTGCTGGTGGTCGCCATTTGGTTCTTTTGGAAGCTATTGCTCCCATATCTATTATCGGAGGTTATTTATTCTATGAGCATCGTAAAGACCAACTCTTGATTTATAGGCTAAGACTAAAAGATTTATAATTTATGAAAATAAATTAGTGAAATGAATATTTATATTGGATAAAGTTCAAAAAAGTGGCGAATACTTTGTGTTTTACCCTATATTAAAATAAAGTTCTCAAATCATAGAATGTCAAAACTTACGTTTCCAAAGTTTTTCTTTGAAAGTGATACATGTTTCTTCTTTGCATAAATTGTAAAAAATGTTTTTTTACAAGGATCGAAGAGCTTTTACAGTTCGTGCATATTGGCAACTACTTTTTTTATTCTAATCATGTCATTTTTCTGTTGTTTTTTTTATTCTTGTTGTTGTTGTTTTTATTTTTAATTATTAAGATGCTCCTAGAAGATTTATTAGTCTTATCCCAGAGCATAATAAAGAAACATTTAATCAGCAAGTTTATGCCTTCTTCCTTACCATTGTCGCTTATTGGGCTAAAGCCGGCATAAAAACATGAACAACTTGGTTTTAGTTTATTTGAATAACGCAGTAAAACTGCGTCATTTAAATATACCTGTTGATTCCAATACTTTGTAATGAAATAATTTAGATTGAAGAAAATTTTTTTAAAGTAATTTAGAAAAGGCTTTTCTGCTTTCTCAATTTTATTTCGATTTTTAACGTTCGAATGTAACATATTAAAATATGAAAATATTCTTTGAGCTTCTGCAGATGAATCAAAAGCTATAGAAAATTGACCATCAAATCCCAGTAATATCTGACTTAGACAATCGTTACAAAATTGCCTGCAGTCAAAGTATTTTATAATTTAATTTATGTAATAATACAAAGTAAACTTTTAAAATAGTGCAGCTTTTGATTCAAAATTAACAAAAGTGCAAAAAATTGGATTGTTTGAAAGTACAAACTCCATTTCAACTACTATTTTTTAGCTCAATTTTACCAAATATATATATATATATATATATATATATATATATATATATATATATATATATATATATATATATATATATATATATATATATATATATATATATATATATACATACATATACGTATACGCCGCCTGGGACAGAAATCTTGATTAGCGCCTTTATTTATCAAATTTTCCCTATATTATATATAGGGAATATCTGCCGCCCGGGACAAACTATCCCGGTGACCCTCCCTCTCTTTCGGCGGCCCTATATATATATATATATATATATATATATATATATATATATATATATATATATATATATATATATATATATATATATATATATATATATATATATATATATATATATATATATATATATATATATATATATATATATATATATACACACACGTGTATATGTGTATTTGTGTGCGTCTATAATTCTTATTTAAATACAATGTTACATTTTTTTATTTAGTAACAATAACTTTAAATTTTTAAACTATGTTGAATGTGTTAAAAATGTAGCTAAAATAGCCGCTAGTCACATAAATTCATAGTCACATAAATTCTGCTTAACCATTAAGCAAATATTGTTTTATTCGCAATGAAAGTCAACTAAAATTTTAAGTTGACAAATATAAAAAACATTTTTTCAAAGCACTTTTGGATTTTTGTTTAACTATTGATTTTTTGACATTTCAAGTTAAAATGTCAAAAAATCAATAGTTAAACAAAAAACCAAAAGTGTTTTGAAAAAAACGGTTTTTATATTTATCAAAAAATACAGAAAATAAAGTAATAATCACTTAGTAAGTACAGTAAATAAAATAAAAATTTAAATAAAATTCTTCAGATTTTCTTTAAACATATTATTATAGCTACTTCTATTTATTTAAACATATAGCTACTTCTATTTACAAGTAAATACATGCTTGAATATGATATATCAAATACTTATATTACATAAACTAGTTTTCAATGCCCATCTTGCAATGGCTTTAAAAAATACGAGTAAAATCCTCCCCAAAAAAATATTTCAAAGATATAGTTGTAAAAAGTTTCAAAAAATGACATAGTGACAAGTGTCTGTTTTTTTTTTTTAAAAGCGGTTTTGCTATCAATGTATGTTTGTTTAAAAAATAAAACCTAAAAAGTGGATTTTTTTTAGTACTTTACATATAAGACTTTTTACTTAATAATTAATTTATAAAATTTTTGTTTTTATGTTAAAAGTTTAAAAAAAAAAACATCAAAAACTCACCGCAAAATATTTAGTATTTTCGGCTTAGTACTACCCTCCGTTTTAATACTACAACTTTAATATGTCGATATTATTACTACATATAAAGAAATAAACTTTGAATAGACAAAATGAGACTAAAAAGTCTGTTAAATTAAAGAAAAATTAGCTCAAAGATTTTCCATGATGGCAAATTTAAAAACAGCCGTGGTTCAAAATAAAATAAATAAAGACCATAAAGACAGCAAATGTAACATTTAATCTAAACATTACCGAGGTTCTAAATAACCAAATCATTTTTTAAATCTAAGAATTTTTTTGAAGTTTATAATATTTAAGTATCATTGTAACAACAACGTCATTCCCTTCAAACTCAACAAAGTGATTAGAATGCGCGGAGTTTGAGAGGAACGTTGTTTAAGAACATAAAACAAATTAACTAAAAATTTTTTTTTTAAAGATAACAAAGACAACAAGCCCATAGTTAATGGAAACTTTAAATTCAACTTTAAGTTGCGCACTTAAAACAAAAATGCACCGTTCAACACGTCAAAAATCAAATAACTTTATTGTAAGTAATACTTAAATAGCCTGTATTGACTTGCCAACCGCATTTTGCGTAAGGGCTCCTCTATAAATTGCGTCACGCTCTAAAAGTAAAGGTGAGCAGAAGGGTTAATGGTTTTGTGACCACTCGTGCGGAGCTTGTTACTAAAGAGTTACGATGTTGTGACCCTTTAGAATGATCAAAAAACGGCGTAAACTAAATAAATTTTGACAAATAAACATGTTAATTGTTAAAATAATATTTATTTGGGTTGAAAAATTTACATTTGTTAATATAAATATTTTTATTGGCAACTTTATATTTTATTTAACTATAACTTTCATAGGCAACACGCGTAGAGTGCCTGTGTACACGTTTATGCGCGTTACGTTTGACTACACGATAAAAACTAAGTTAAGATTTTAGAATATTCAAGCCAAAACAATTTTGTTACATTACTCTATTGGATTATTGTATTGCAATGGTTTTTAAAGGATGTTGATAAAATGTATCGAAAAAAAAAAAAATACAAATTATTTTAAAATACAAATATTTTTTGTATGTCATACGAAAAAAATTTGTATTTTAGAAGAAAAAAAACTGTATTTTTTATTATTTTTGAACAATAAATGGTCAATAACAATAAATAAGTTTGAATTAATTTTTAAACAAAATCGTGCAATTTTTTGTAGCCTGAATTTTTTATATTGTTTTGATAAGTGCCAAGAGCAAAATAAAGTGCACTGCTTTTATTATTACGTCTATAATTACGTCACGTAACTTCTGACGAATTTCGTCACGTAGTTTTTTACGAATTACTTCGCGTCATTTTTGACCGTTTTTGACGTATTGATATAAGTGGATTTAAGATGTAAGATGCAAGATTTTATTTTGCGACGTTTTGTTTTTCAAAATATTGCAAAATGAAATCTTGTGATATTTTGAGCTTTACCTTTTCTATCAAAACGTCAAAAACAGTCAAAATTTACGTGACGTAACTCATGGACGAAACCTTAGTTGACGCAATTGCATTGGATCATTAACGCTTTTCTTTCTAAGAGCAGTTTTTAAGTTAGGGACAACCAAAATATTTTAGTCTGCATTGAAATGTTATACATCGAAAGCTACATGCAACAATTAGGGAGTTCGAAAACTTAAAAATGGAAGAAAATTTCAGACAAAGTTGATTTTATATCAATGCAACAGACGCTTTTACTAAAAAAACCAAACAAAGTATATCGTCTTTTTCAAAAAAAATAAATGCAGCGGTCCTATTAGTTTTTGAAATCGTGTTATATAAAGAGCAAAGAAGAATGCAAGAAAAGTTTACTAAGTTATTTATAAAATGTGGTAAAGCAATGGCTTCAAAAACATGAGGTCCAAAAATAAATGTTTGTTCTGGCGACAAAAAATACGGAAGACAGCATGAATATCTTTTCTAAATACACTTCCACTGTGTCCTGAAACAAAATTTTTCAATCTTTTAATGGCTTAAAACCAGAGTTTATGTCATGTCTTTTATTAAAAAAGCCCTCCTGGCATTAAATTTTAGAACAGCAAATAAATTTTAGAACAGCAAATTAGCTGTTCGGAAATATTAACGCCAACACCCATTGCTTCTAAACATAACACCCATTGCTTCTAAACATAACACCCATTGCTTCTAAACATAAATAAATAAAAAAATAGAGAAAAGGGTCAAGGTTTAAATTTTTAAAATCCTTATTGACTAAATAATCTATAATTCCCATTTTTAAAAAATAAATTGAAATGATTACGAGAAGAAATAAAATATTACAAATTAAAATATATAAATTTTTGTAACACGTATTTATTAGTTTGAATATATAGGTTTTTGTAACTCGTATGGGTTGATAATGGTTTTTGTTACACGTGTGAGTTTGTTATTAGTTGATAAGACATTAACTTGTTGATATGACAAGAACTTAAAAAGCATAATAAAGAAAGATTTTGTTTTGGGAAATAATTGATAAGTCAATGCATCAAGGTTCATGTTGCTAGTAATATATAAGCTTTTATTTTCTTAATAATTTTTATAAAAGTTTTTTTAATAAAGTTTTTGAATGATTTAAATTTACTCATTGGTGGACGACATAAATATTACCCGTTTTCGAACAAAAGTTATAAAAAATTAATAAAAAAAAAATGTGTATAAATTTCGACTTCAATATTGCACTAATAATTAATAGTCATTTTTCAATCTACCCCACTCCAGGGTAAAGAGCTGTATAAGCTATATGTTTTTGTTTTGAACAAAAATTTTTTGTTGAAAGAAATTGCGACAAGTTGAACTTCAATTATCACTTGCTTCACATTAAAAGTATTTTCCAATAAATTAAACTTCGTAAAAAATAAGTTACCGATATTAAGTTATCCGAAAAGTTAGTAAGAAGTCTTTTTTACAATTTTGTTATTTTAACAATTTTACGAAAGTTTAACCGGCACACTTCAATCATAATATAACAATCGGCATTAATTCTAATAAAAATTACTAAATAACAAAGCACACAAATAATAAAGCAATGAAGATAATTGATTTATTTTTTTTTGTAAAAGATGACTAATCGAATTAAGTTAATACTACAAGTAATGGTAAAGTTCGTTACGTTGCAAAAGTATATATTCAAACGCTAATGTTTTACCTACGTTAGACAAAATATTTTCAGTTTAAAAAAAGCGTGCTGCAGTGGAGAACTTGAGTTATTATAACTTTTTATTAAGTACTTTTGATGGAAACTCTAGGAGGTAAATGCATTTATAATTGCGTACAAAGATAAAAAACTACATAATATAACTATTTATTACTTGCTATATGCCATTGAACAAATAAAATAAAAATATTTTTTAAGGAAATAAGAGGTTTCGAAAAATGGCTTTTTGTAAGCAAGAAGAAACATTAAGACATGTTGAGCGCAGCTCTTCAATTATGGTAAACTTTAAGAAAACAATAGAGCAACACAGATCAAGATCGAATTCAATTGTTGAACCTCCTCCGCCTTTATTTACTCCAGTTAAACGAATTAGCTTAGAGACGATGATGAGTACAAAAAAGCTCACAAAGTATTTTCCTTTCTCGCAAAATAAACATCATTCATTTATCGGCGAGAGATTTTTAAAGTTTATTTTGGATGGTGACTGTGGAAAGTTAGAACAAATGCTTAAAAAACTGGATGCTGATTTCAATATATCGGAGCTAAATTCTCTCGTTCATGAAGCATGTTACAAGGGTTGTTTAAAATGTTTTCAAATACTTATAAAAAATGGTGTTTCGCACGACTGTGTAACAGGAGATGAAAATTGGACGCCATTACACGCGGCAATAATGGGGGAAAATGAAGAACTTTTTCGCTTTTTAATTCCACTTTATAAAAACGTTGATTTAGTAAATTCAAATGGCATTACTCCTCTCCACGTGGCTGTTTATATAAATAACTTACTTTTTGTTCACCTTTTATTGCAAGCTTCGGCTAACATGTTTATAGAAACACAAATTATGACACCTTTTCAACTTGCAATTGATTTAAAACATAGTACCATCCTAGATTATTTTATTTTGTACTCCGCAAATCATTCAACTATTGACTTGACATGGGAAAGAAAAGTAATGTAATTCAAATATCTATTTGATATTATATTTTACACCATGTTTCATATAACATAAGTTTTATAACTTTATTTGTTGCTTGCGATTTATTGTTGAGTATATACTTTTATTGTAAAATGGCTATATATTTTTAAATAAATATATATATTTTTAAAATAAAGCTCATTTATATCTAGATTAGATACACTATAATATGTTTTATTTAAAAAAAATTGTATAATGAAATTGAAAATAAAACTTTTTGAAGTTTCATATATTTAAATAAAATGTTGAATTACATTTTTATTGGAAATGTTTTTAAAAAATTCTTGTTTCTATATTTAATTCCATGTTTTAATATCATGTATTAACTTTTCCGTATATTCCACAACCCATTTTTGCGCATTGAAAAGCACACTTATCTTTATCAAAAAGCAATTTTGAAAGAACAATGTGAACGTGTTACTTATAACTTTTAAACAATTCTGTATTTTTTTAACAAACTTTCAATTTTGTGAACGAATTTTGTTCTATTTTAAAATTGAAAAACCTTTTTTTTGAAATTCCATTTACTCATACAAATTGCGAGATTTAAATATGAGCAAGCTTTAAACTTAAGATGAGCGAGATTTAAACTTGAAATGAGCGAGATTTAAACTTTAAATGAGCGAGATTTAAACTTTAAATGAGCGAGATTTAAACTTGAGATAAGCGAGATTTAAACTTTTGAGCGTTTGTATTGATGTAAAAAGATTACGAATGTAAATATTTGAGTCAAGTAAAAGGATGCTGTCAAAGCTAAAGACGTATAAATACAAACTGATGAACAGTATTAGATCTGTTTTACTTTGAAAGACAATAAATTTAATAGAAAAAAGTTATTTTGAACTCTGAGAAAAGCACAAAATGATGTCAAAAAATATCCGGCTTCAATTGTAAAACAAAAATGTAAACACCAAATTAAAATGAAAGACTGTGGAATAAAATCTATCAGACGATTGACTTTGTTTGCTGAATAGTTGAAATGATGGCTCCAATTTGAAGCGTTTGAAACAAAAATTCCAAGATTTGTTTCTATTGTAGTTTTCGACAAAACGGGATCGTTTATTTTGTAGTCAAATTTGAAGTTTGTCTTCCTAAAATGCATAACCTTACACTAATGTTCGTTGAAATTAATAATCCAGTTATTTGTCTATTCTCCGATCTGTTGATATCGTTTTGTAGGATCGTTGTTATCAAGTTCTGGTTTAATGATTGATAATAGTTTTGTATAATCCTCAAATAGTTTACCTACGAATTAAGTCTTACAAAGCAGATTGATACTAAATATGATAAATAATAATGAGCCCCTGAACCTTGAGAAACACCTCATTTGAATAATTTTCAGCCCAAAATAAAGTCATCTTCAATTAATTTTTGATATCGCCCGGTAGGAAATGAACTAGCGACTAGCTAGCTTTATAGCAATTTTGTAATAATGTTTTTTTCTCACATTATTATTATTTTTTACGTTTAAAAAATTTGATTTTTAAGCATTGGATCTAAAATATTTATGATAATAATTGAACTTTTAACATTGCGGTTTTATTACGACATGTCGCAATCTACATATAGCAGCTTTGTAGCCATCAATATTACGACGACATATCGTTTGCTATATATTGTCATATTGTAGCTAGCTACAGCATAGAGAGAAATCTGCAACTAGTCGATGGCTACATATTGCAGCTTCATATCTAAAAATATTATTACGATATACTGATAGCTACTGATTGTTGGTGTATGGCTAACTACAACATAGCAACAAATTTAAATCTACAACCACACACCACAATGCAAACCACAGCTTTAGAGCTAGGAAATTGTTAATATTATACTGTTGTAGCTAACTGTAACATAACGAAATCTATTTGATAGCAACTTATCTTAGATTTGTATTTATCGACAAGATTGTTTTAGATTAACTACTAAAGTAGTTAAAAAAAACATTGTGTAACAGGAAATGTAAATTGGACGCCATTACAATGTTATCATTTTATTTGTTGGAAAAAATAAAAAAGAACATTCTTTTCAGTATATTGATAATATACTGAAATTCAGTATAGTTGAAAAGACTTTTATACCGATCTTTTGTTCACACTTTTCTAAAAACCGTGAAATCAAGGCACTACAAAAATTTCAAAATAGAGCTACAAAAATTAATTATTTAAAAGGATTTTTATTATAGTAAAGAATTAGTTGATCAGTTAAATGAAATTTTTTATCGTTTACAAACCCATGTTGCTGTTTTACAATTTCTTGAAGTTAAAAAACTTATAATTACATCTCTAATAATTTGTTCCAAAGGTTTACACGCTACTGAAGTCAATGATAATGGACAATAATTATATGAGTCAAGTTTACATTTTTTCTTTATGATCTGAATTATATTTGCTTTATGCCAAATATAAAGTACAATTCTAGTTTCTTTAAATCAAGCGTGTTGCTATTTTCACCAGGTTTAAATTAAAAGTTGATTCAAGGATCTTTTAAAAAAGAAAACACTCATTTAAACTTTCAGTTAATGCTTTAGCTTGTTCATCCATGTAGTTTACCATGATATTGAGGCATAATTAAAGTTACCTTCAATCAGTAAATTAGAAAATTTTTTTGTTACACATTATAGACTTGTTTAATAGAATGACTTACTGCTGTATTTTCAACTAAAGTGCAATCGCTTATGCGGTAAATGCAGCCTTAAAAAAATTATTTTAGAATCAGTTTCAAATATACACTGAACTTGCTCGATTAATTTTTGCTGTTAATTTCTATTGTCTATTTTGTAGAATCTACTAAATTTTTGATATAAATATGTCGATCTATGCTAAGTCGATCCTTTCTGTTCAAATTGAATCCAACATTGTTAGTTACTAATGTTTTGGATCATCATGTTTCATTATTAATAACTATTGTTCGATTATGTTTTGGAGTTTCCATTAAAAGCTAGCCTGATTTGTTATTTAAATTTTGTATAAACATATTAGATGATATGTGGATAATTTTTTTAATGTTGTTACCATATTTGTTCTTTAGTTCACCCAAAACAGCTCTTTGTTTCACGCTAGGTGAAGTAGAAGAATCAAGAAATAAACGTTTTTTTAATGTCACAGCAATAGAATTAACTTTTCCAATATATTTTTTCGTAATTTCATTACTGTTTGTTTGTTGATTCTTGAAAGTGATTTGAATTAATACTTTTTTTTTTACTAAACTTTTTATTTTTACTGGTTGTTACTCTTAATGACGTAGTAATAGTCATTATCCAAATTGTTGTAGTTTTTACATCTTCATTCATCTTCTAAGAGCTAAAATTTGTAACTTTTTGCTTAAGTTTGGTCTGGGTTAATAAACACTTATTTAAACATTTTTTAAAAATTGAATCTCTTTCTGCTTTATCTTATAGTATTTCCTTGTTTCTTGCTTTATATCTATTAATATTTTCCAATAGATTTCGCTTTTATTCAGAGTTTATACTCTTTTAACAGACTTTTTTTCCTTTTTTTTTTTACTCTCCTTTCACTCTTTCTTTAGTTTCATTAACAACTCAGTTTATATTGTTCAACTCCTTAGGAGAATTTGCACCAGTACTAATATTTGACCATACGACTGGAGGTTATTAAATATTTTCTAACTTATACACTCGATTAGTCAATTTCTTGTTGTCACAAGTTAATTTTTCAACTAGTTTTCTCATATTATTATTAGCTGCTCTTGTTAAGCCTCGCTGGTTCCAAACTCTGACTAAAAGACATCAATCTTTTAATAGTTTAAATGAAAATAAATTTTAATGTTATATTAGATTTTCTAAAATTGTTGTTATTGTAATTTTGTTTATATGATAATGTTATTATAATTTTTTATTGACATTTGTAATAATTTATTCATTTTATATTTTTGTTTTTTAATTTTATGGTTGTCTAAAAGCAAAAACGTCTCCGTTAGTTGTAAACTAGTTTATTTCCAATTGGGAATTTGTCAAAAGTGGGGTTCTTTAGAGCCCAATATTGGGCCCATTTTAATTCATCATATTTGTTAACGATACTAATGCTTAGTAAAAATATATTTGTAGGTAAACTATTTGTGGTTTATACAAAACTATTATCAGTCATTAAATCAGAAATCGATAACAAGACCCTTCAAAGGATATCAACTTATTGGAAGAATGGACAATTGACAAGATGATTTAATTAAACGAAAATAAGTATAAGGATTTTGGAAACACAAACAATTTAATTATAAAATAAGCTACGTCATTTTGTCAGAAACTGCAACGAAAAAGAACATTTTTTTCAGTATATTGATATAACGTTAAAAAGACTTTTATCAATCTTTTGTTCGCACACTTTTAAAAACAGTGAGATCAAAGCACTAGGAAAAATTCAAAACAGAGCAACAAAAATTAATGATCTAAAAGCATTTAACAGTTTAATGAATTAAATTGACAAGTTTTTTAGATTTTAACATTTATTATTACTTAAATTTGTTTTTAATATATATATATTTTTGTTTAAGACCTAACGGTTTTTCACAATGCACCACGGAACAGCATTTAACTAGGAAATTCACGCCTCCTTACGTACAGATGGCGCAAAGATGTTTCGAACCCTGGATCTCTTGCGTTTAAAGCAAGTGCTCTACTTGCTTTAAAAGCAAAAGATCTTTTTGCTTTTTTAAAGATCTTTTTGATTTTTAATTAGTACTTCTGTAAATACTGTTATAAAATAAAATTCTACGTAATTTCATGTCTCAAAGCAATAGAGTTACAGCTCCTCTATTCTATTCTGTTCTAAAATGTCACATTTGAAAATTAGAATTTTCAATTACTGCCTAATATTTATAAACTGTCGTTACTATACATGCACGTAGTTTTAGCAATAAAACCGTAATGAATCTTTATAGACACGCTTGAAAATGGTGTCTATGATAAAAGTGGTGTCTATAGTAGAAAAGGATGTTCCAGAATGTCTAATAATACCACTGTCATTTTAGCTGCAGCGTCAGATTTAGCAAAAAAAATATTTTTAAATAATTAAAAATAAAAATCATAAAAACAATTTACTTAAAAAATTCACCAACGCGCAATCACTTATATGGATTAAGTTTCTTTACTTTTTACGTTGTTTTATTTCTTGAAAAAAAAACTACAAAACTATCAGAGTTGCATT